TCTTAGCACCACACAACAACTCGTCAGAGACAAGTGAAGCCGATCCTTTGACCAGACTTGTGCTAAACAAGGCTTATAGTTATAAAATACAATTTTTTTTTCAAAGGCGTAGGACACATCATTCCCTTTCCTTTGTGACAACTTATGCACAAGTATTAGCTAAATTTAAGAGTTGAAAATTTCCTCAGCCACCATCTAATACATTTTAGGCTGTCTGAATTGTGGACCCGAATCAAGCAATTTGCTATATATTTATTCGGGATCACTTTCTTTGTAGCCTATAATGATACTGGCCTCAGTGATTACTTAGTTATATCAGATTCCTCTTAAGTATCCTAATGTTTGAGTCGTCACGAGATTGATTTAAATCGCTCCCCTAGGTGTACAAATTCTAGGAGAGAAGTATTTGTTTATTGGATTGCAAACAGGAGAATTCGAGTCATATAGGAAATGAAATTGTTATTTTCATTACTAATTCATATACTACACAAATCCAAAATATTACTTCCATTCTTGTAAATTTTTTCATATTATTTTGTTGACTTGCTTAGATTCGTCATGTTTTCATCGGTAGTGGAGCATCTCGATTAGAGAAGAACTCATCCAGCCGCCACTCCGCTCAAACTTCGGCCTACTTCCGTCTGATCGTATTTACTGGACAATCAATATCCGCTGGTACCGAGCTCACCATACCTTTTGACTTCGACCCTTCTGCATGTCAATACCCTATTCGGTGTGCTTGCTCAGGCCGCGCCTGTAGCTTGACACGGTCTGGTCCTGCCGGTGCCATTACTAGTTTGGCGGACCAAGGTCTTAATCGGCCTGCAAAGACCTCTATCAATTCACCTGTGTCTTGTTCCCCTGCATCCATCTCTATCTCCACTATGCCTACTACTATGGTCTCTTCCTGCTCACGCTTATCTACTATCATTACTAATTCCATGACAACAAACGTCGCCAGTGCTATCGGCAGCAGCAATGGTAACGCCAGTAAATCTGCTAGTCGTAGCCACAGCTTCGGACTCGATAATATCTCTGGAAGTGTTTACGACAATTCGGCTTTGTCACCTTCACTCCTGCATGGCGACGCTATCGAGCCTGCTGCAGAGGAAGTAGTGGTGGCTACCGACGCTTCACCGCGCCCGTCATCTATGCGACTAGGCCAATTAGGAGGAACTTTAGCTGCATTAACTACAGACGCGCGTCGACGTAGGCAGGCTTCAACAGGATCTATTTCACAGCTAGCGCGATCAACGGGTCGAGTCAAATTGTCCGGCAGGCACTGCGCATCGCCCTCTAATGCTGGGTGAGTTATGAAGTAGATGGGG